GGGTTCCGAGTAAAAACTCAGCTAAGTGGTGGTTAACGGCCACAGTTAACTGTCATAAAAACCAGGACTTCAGAACTGGGAGCCATGGATTGTTGGGTTAGTAGTTTTCCTTATCTATGTCTAGGGAAATAGGTCTCGTAGCTTTTTTCTACCTTCTGAGATACATAAAGACCTACTGAAGCTGCCTGTTGCTCCATGATCAATAACAAAAGTACAATTATTGCATCGCTCTTCATAAAGCCCGGCTGTTGGGTCCTCTAAGTCTCATGAATTAAATACCATAGAGTTAAACATACTAAGCCACAAAAATCAGAGACCGTCTTACCTGTGATGATTCGTACGTTATGGTTTTTGTTTCTGTATGAACTACTGGTACCTCCTTGGTAGAAATTTCTAGCTTTACACCTCCTGGGGAAACACTGCCAAAACTGATGGTTTCGGTCTTCACAGCTGACGGCTGTGCCAACGGAAGTAAGCAGAGTAGCTATGACAGTTTGCACAAATACACGGTTTCGGTTTTTTCCCACCTCTTGGTGAATATAAGCACCGATCAGTGTGATATAAACGTTTACACATTACACGGGGTAAGCTAGGAATGAGGCACCCACAGATACAAGTCAGATGGGCTCCCAGAAGGTCATACAATCTTTTTATATGGAATGTTCCAGGTATAGGGAAGAATTTTGAAAGAAATAAAAACAAAAAAGCATTCTTTTTATGTCCCTCCTCCTCTAGCTCATGAACTAGATCTGACAGATTAAACACCATGTCTTTCCTGTAGTAGCTTCTTAGAAAGCAGGAACAGTAAGACATTAGCCCTCTAAATAGTTCAGGGCTCTCGATAAAACAGGACTGAAAACAAGCACAACCCTGGTGCTGGGTACCCGGGTAAGCATGGTTCTTGGCCCTTCTGGGTAAGTACACTCATCAGAGGTAAATTTACCAAATTTTCAAGGATCTCAGCTGACCATGCATTCCCCAGGTTCGCTGCCATTTACAGTAACTACAGTGAGAGTGGGTATCATTTCCTGGGACTTTACATCATTAAGAATCAACAGATACGTCTGC